AAGAATAGACCATTCCAAGCTTTAACTTGTTGTTAAACAAATGTTTAAACAACTCTACTTATTCAATTATGTAAAGCAAAAGCATTGGATTTATAGATCCCTGCCACTTTGTACAAGGGTCGTTTGTAACCACTATCGCATTTGTCAACCATGCCTCGTTTGGCTTTGTTTTTCTTTTTCTCTGAACGATGTGGAAATATTATAAAAAAAATTTCTACCGGTTAATTAAATAACTCAACTCCAATCGAGAGTGGGCGAAAGGAGATTTCCAATTCTCGAATACCCCGGGTAATTAAGTACCCAAACACCTTACAGAAAAGAAGAAGAAAGTCCAAACGCTATACTAGATATCAATGAATTCAAAATCCTGATAGAAAACAGTGAGAATTCAGTAATTAAAACTTTGGTTTCTAAAGCCTGATGAGAAACTTTGCAGTTGTGAAAGTGACACCTTTAGCTTTAGAATCTAAATGGAAAATAAAACTGATACCTGTGCTCTTTTATTATATACGTCTATGGACTTATAACGCTAAAAATCGGATGTCCATACCCGTTTTGGATGGAGCAAAGATAGATCATTGTGTAGCTTTGCACTTAACAGCAAAAAAACATAAAATCTAAGTGCATGGAATGGGTGATAAAGAAATTTATTTGTATGGTTATTGTTGAATTTCGCGTAAAATTACTCGAGGGTTACCTGTGCTAGCAATCCCTGATTTGAAAATGATAGACTAGAGGGAAGGCAACTATTCAACACCACCCGCTGCAAACTCGTGAAGTACTCTAATCGAATAGTGGGATTTGATCTTCACTCTTATAACGTACACACAGAGCGCGATTTTTATTTCTTTTTGGTGGTAAAAGGTGTAAACCACGGAACATTGAATACACAATATGACACGTTAACAATTATGCTGTTCTCGGCTCTATTGGTTTGAAATGAGATTTAGTAGGCCTACCCTATAATAATATCATTGACGTCATTCAAGATCAGTTCTTTGGAAACTTTTTAAGATGTATAATGTACCCTAAATGTAAACTTGGAAAAGATATGGATAAAACATTTAAAGTTTGTTTGTTTGTTTTGTGTGTGTGTGTTTTTTATTTCCCGCAAAGCTACACGAGGGCTATCTGCGCTAGCCGTCACTAATTTAGCAGTGTAAGACTAGAGGGAAGGCAGCTAGTTATCACCACCCACCGCCAACTCTTTGGCTACTCTTTTAACATCGAATAGTGGGATTGACCGTCACATTATAACGCCCCCATGGCTGAAAGGGCGAACATGTTTGGTGTGACGGGGATATCTCTAAAGTAAAAAACTACCAAAATAATTTCTCAAGAGTAACAGCTTTAGGTACAAATGCACCTCTTCTATGATACAGGAGATTGAATTCCAATCATAGGAAAAATTGTTACATGAACCTATGTTTAAGATGCAAGGTCAGGTTTTTTTATAAGGATATTTTGCACTTTTGAAGGCTCAAAAAGGTTAAAAAGTATTTAACAAAACATCACCTACTTAAGATAACACACAAGCAATAATAATTCAGTTGAAGAACAGTTTATCATGCCCCTACTGCCAGATTGTATGTCGAACAGTTTCCGGATGAACGTCATCCTTCAGATCAGATGATAGGAAATGTGTGTTAGCGGCTGCGTACTACAGGCTCATTTAAGTAAAAACGCCTTGTGCGCAGACAAAGAACAGCAACTAGTATTAAGAATTAAGCCGCTATATTGGCATTTGCTACATTTTGATAACACTTTAAACACAGTTATTAATTGCTAATGATCGTTTCGTAATCCTTTGAGTTGTTTATCTCATCTGCATTTATGCCTATAACTGTTGAAGTCTCTTAGAAAATACTTGTGTACGAATAAAGAATTAAATAATAGTACTTTACGTAAGCATAGTACAATGAAAGAAAACCAATATTACACGATGGAGTAGGATGTATAGTAACTGAAGCTGCTTTATGCTTTTTTGTTGTTGTTTTTTTAACTTTTGTGATGTTAACTGTATTATCCTACTAGGATTATTTGTTAGTGCAAGCAAAAGCACCTGACGATTAAGAATATAATTTACTGATGAAGCACAGTGATTTCTTTAAATACAACCTGGTCAGTAGTACAATGGCTTATTTGCACTTTGTTTACATATAACCCATGCAGTAATAAAATGATTCAATTTCATCGAGTTTAAATATAATCTATGTACTTGTAAAAATGATTAATATCAATATCAAGGCTGAGCTGAGACCATTGAAAATGTGTCGCAGTATTTCATCAATGCGTAACCAATGACATACTTTACTAGCGTATTGGTGTATTCTTAATGCTACCAGTATTGTGCCTTTTCTGCAGTATGCTTTCCTAAGGTTTTTCCTTTCTACAATGCTGAGGGTGGTATTAAGATCTTTGGTAACTTGATCTTGAAAAATCATAAACAAATCAAACGACGGTGATGCTTCCAACAATATATTATATATGTGTGTGTGTGTGTGTGTGTGTGAAACTGATGTACATTTTAAACCACAATTATTTATTATTACGAAACAATGACACTTTGCAATAATATCATAAACAAATCAAACGACGGTGATGCTTCCAACAATATATTATATATATGTGTGTGTGTGTGAAACTGATGTACATTTTAAACCACAATTATTTATTATTACGAAACAATGACACTTTGCAATAATAAATAGTCGTGATTTAAAAGGTGTATTACCTTTATGAATTAAATTCCAAAATATATATGAGTAACTCAATTAATACATACATACTTTTTCTAAATCTGAAACTTAATTTTAACATGCCATGTTCACAACCCTTGGGACCGTTAATACTTCAAGCTGCTTTCAAAGCTATGCAACTAAGCACGAAATCTGGGCTTCTATGGCTCCCGGCTGTATTGACTGGAACTTTACCATTTCAAGTATACTTCTAAATATAACCTCATAAATATAAAATGAAGAGTGAAATCGATAGCTGCCTGGAGCTTTTCTATATACACGTAATAAGTATAGCAAGTTATATGACTCAAATGTTTTATAATAATCATTAAAATAATAGATTATATGGTCATAAACTACGCATTACACCAAATGCAAGCCTATGTTAGTAATTTGTTTATACTTGGAGTTTTTATGGTAGTGCCTGCTCATTTAATAACAGTATAGTTATTTTCAACCTTTAATTTTTTTTTTCAGTTACCCCAAATAGCGAATGTGATATAGGTTTAGATCAAATAATTTGTGCAATACCTCGATAGGCCTTCTAGTTAAATTGAATGTATTTATTTCAATAAAATATAGCTATGTAGTGATTACTAAGTTCTTTACTTCGTTCAAGAAACTTTAAAAATACGAAAAGTTTGTGACTATTAATTAATGAAAGCGTGTAACAGAAATTTTTGCTCTATTATTATTGTTTTAATGTTACATTTTTCAACATTATTGAATCGGTCTACTAATATTGTTTATTTTCTAATCTATTATGTTAACTTCCAGAATAATGTATTGTTAGCCATATTCATTTTGTAATCTAACCTCTAGTGTGTGTCACGTCATGCTACGCTTGATTTCTCGAAATAAGAGGAGTCATAAAAGCCTAAATGCATTTATATAGATAGAATAGTTCGATTACTGTGTGCCCATTACGATTTTAGTGACAGGAATGCAAGGAAGCCGTGAGAGCT